TTTGTCCCTGCAAAAGCAAAATCTAACAGATCATCCTGCACATGGCGTACGCGTCAATCCCCGCCCACAATAAAGCCATACAAATTGAAAATGCATGCAAACTGCAACCTGTTGCACGCAGATAAGAACTATTCAGCTCAACAAAGTGTATAAGCAGGTACCTGTTGCAGTCACCGTAATGACATCTGTTTGGGTTGTTGTATCGATCCATATTTTATATCACACCATATAGTATTCTGTTGCAAATTTTAAACTCATGTACATGTGATCAATTTTGATTTTAAAACTGACAAATTTCCTACTTCGTCTTCAACTTTTTGGTTTGCATTCACGGTAAATCCTACGCTGTCTGTCTGTCGGTCAGTCTGCTGTCTGTCATGGTGTCTGTGGTGTCTGTCTGAAGTCGGTTTGTACTTGTAAAGGCCTTAGGAGTGTGCGGAAACACAGAATACAAGGGTTAATGGAGAGGCCTGGTTAAATATCTTATAGCTCCATGGTTGTATACATCTGCTCCGATTTCACTGTCCTCTGAAGTCACGGTTGGCACGTGAATTTATTTATTTATTTTTTGCTTTTTTTGAAAAAAAATTCTTTCAGACTTTGAAAAGTTCAATATTACATTATCCCTGTGAAAACACTCCAAAACGTATCGCTATTACGCAAAACATAACGTTGATGATGAAAAGTGTTGCAAAATTGCTTCAGCAAGCTTACCACGACCACTTGGGGTCAACATGCAAATTGTGGTCAAAGTAAACATTATTACGTGACTCCAACCAGAAAGCGGGTGCCACGCGAAGCATCCCGCTGGTAAAATATAAATACATGTATAACAGAGAATAACCTCAGAGGTACCTGCACCGCATGCGTAAGTGTTTGAGCAAGTGTTCTGTGAAACGGCAAAGCACTGAGGCGGCGAGACATGTTCTTATGTTTACTGTTTTCCCACACCTGACTACTGAAGCCTTGTAAGGGTAACCGCCATAAAAAAAAAAAACGAATTACATTTTCTTCGAATTTGTCTGCAAAGTTGATGGCATACCCACACATCTAAACGACTTACGCGACTAATCATGTGAAAGTTTCATTAAAAAAAAACCCACGATCGCGTTTGCTTTACGTAACAAATTGAATGAAAGAATCGCAAGATTAGCCTTGCATGCCCAGCGGTATGAAAGGCTAAGAAAGAGACATTATGGCGCAGCAAAAGAATAAAGAAATGCTTACTGCCGATCGATCACAAAAGAACAAGCGAATTTCAAATCAGATTTTTAAAAGATCTTGTGTCAAAAAGGAGTATGTTGAAAGCTGCTTTGCTGTCGCGTTTACGGCTATATGGCAATTACCTCATACACTATCAACTCTATACAGTATTACGAAAAAGAAATGAAAAAGAAATGCTTATTGCAATCCTCTAACCAAACAAATCAACAGTAGTTTTTCACAATAGTAGAGTCATTTTAAGCGGATTCAACCTTACGAAAAAGAAATGAAAAAGAAATGCTTATTGCAATCCTCTAACCAAACAAATCAACAACAGTTTTTCACAATAGTAGAGTCATTTTAAGCGGATTTGACCTTTTCGTGACATGTTATCAAAGCTTTAAAGCCAAAAAAAAAAGTCTCCGGTTTCTGGTATGCGCGCGCGTCGCCGTAGCCATGCGCGTCGGCAAAATGGAACAGTTTTTTTTTCAATGAGAGATGATGTCTCAAAACCGCCAAACTCACTGGTTTGACTGGAATCCTGCTGCTGCACAATTTTAACGTGTTTTTAGATTGGGTTATGGTCGAGAATAAGCTTTATGTGGCCTCTCTGGACTCCCATATATTTGCACTAAGTTTAGTCGGGCACCATTTGCAGTCATCAGCCGACATTTGAAGCAAAAAAATCAGTTAAAAAAAAAAAAAAAGCCGCGTCGCCGCACCACTTTTTGGGCAAGCTCCATACCAGAAACCGGAGACTTTTTTGGGGGGGGGGGGGGCCTAAAGGCTTCTCATATAGGAAATCATGGGGCGGCTACTGGTCCGTTCTTTCACAACTTTTGAATACACATCGAGGTCCGCACGGGACATAAGCCATGCAGGTACGACCTCGCATAAGATTTATTGAAAACTAAATGTGGTCTGGGATTCAATGTTCAGCATTTGCCAATGTGTTACTCCCACTGGGTGATTTCGTTCCGGTTCATATTTTTTTACCGGTTCATATCTTTTATTCCCACGTATGTGCATAAACTTTATGATTTTACTTTGTATAGCTGTTATTTCTGTCGTGTTTTGATATAAATTTTCTATAGGACTTTCCAATTTTCTCTTATTTGTGGGGCAGTTTAGGGGACATATTTGGGGGAATTGTGCCTAGATGATAAAAGCATGGCATTTGGCACACAGACAGAGTATGTCATGAGAAAGATATTTGGCTGTAGGGCCATCGCAGATTTGTCCTTTGAAAAAAAGGGTAGAAATACAAGCAATTTTGAAAATGGCTGCCACTGCTTGTTGTTCTACCTATATTTTTTTCAAAGGACAAATCTGCGATGGCCCTATAGCCACATATCTTTCTCATACCTGACTGTGTGCCAAATGTCATGCTTGTATCATCTAGGCACAATTCCGTCACCTATCTGCCGTATTAGGCCTATATTCAACAAAGAAACGAGCTAACACAAAATTAAAATATTTTTTACAACTCTTATCGTAAACATTTTCCAACTAATCACTATATTGAATATTGGTTTGTGAATATTATTTTATGAGCTGAATTCATATTTGTTCAGTACCTAATTATCCCTCGTCTCTAGATCGATGGTTAAAAACCCACTTTATACATGACTTCCATCTCAAACAAACAAGACTTTGAAAATGTGAACAGCCGCTTAGGTATAATCGATACATTTACTGAAGTTTGCTGCCGCTGAAAATTGAGATGAAAATTTGTGAAAAGATAAGCAGCTTGTATTGTTTGTGTAGTGGCAATTAACCAAATAAAAATAGGCAAAGGACACAATTCCAAACAGTTGCCATATTGTGGTGTGGTATTAGAAACAGAAGTCAGCCCACAGCAATTGTCTATTGTTTTACAGGACGTGGCATTGTATAGACCTTTATCATGCTGCAACCATTTCAGTTATGTTCCCTGTATGCAATAACAGTACTGAGTGGTAAATGTTTTGTGCGAAAAGGAACCAGACTATTTTCCTTCCAGCCTCGCTTTGGTTACGTTGATTTGAATTGGAAAAATCAAGATGGCTGCAACATGATAATGTCTACAGGCCTTATTCGTTGCAGGTGCCTCTGAGGGTGTTGGTTATTACTTTAATTTAGTTTCAATGAATGCACACAAGGTTTACTCATACCTATCCCAGCGCTACAAAACGATTGCCCTCTGACTCCGCCTGAACGCATAAGGTCTATAGGGTTGCAGATCAGTAAATCGGTCCGAAATTGCCTACGCCGGCCAAATCACGATTTGCATGCCCTCAAAATCTTCAGTATTTGAGCATGCTGTGGGCCATGAACTTGAGGGTTTGTAAAAAATATTGGTGGAAGCCGTGCACAGGACTGTGAGCTTGTAGTTCCGTTCAATTTGGATGAAATTTGGGCTCTTAAAGCGCTCTATTTTGCAATGGAGTGTAGGCATCGTTTTTCAACATGGCGATGGGCTTCAGGACTATTTTCAGGGGTGATCATCTTCGGATGGAAATTTCTCCTAAAAGTCATCAGTTGACCCCCCGAAAATTGAAAAGAAAATGAAAGATGATGAAATAAGCTTTAATTTGATGTGTGTCTCGAACACCTTGGAGAGTTGTGAGTATTTTTCCCGAATTTCTGAAGTGGGAGCATTTACCATTGGGGTCTATGGAAGTTTATTTACTGGTCTGCAACCATAGACGTCTGGCACTGTGCGCTCTTACCGAGGGCAGCTTTTGTTATTAAAGGGCTGTGACATGAATTTTACTTGGGACATATTTTGCGCAACTATCTACTCCTCTTAAAATGTACAAAAACTACTTGACATCCATGTTTGCTTCATCTTATTGAAAAGTACACTTCTTTAAACGTTTCAAGTTGTCTATGCATTTCCAGACAAATGAGGGCACTGTTGCTGTGATGTCATTTCAGGAAGACACTGTTCAGTTTAGGGGTTTCCTGTTCAAATTATTGTGAACCCAAAATTCGCTCATTGAAAACATTTTGTGAGAAAACTTTGGCCTACTGTCATGTACTTAAACAATCACCAAAGAGAATTTAACTATTTAAGACAGCAAAATATCCAAAAATCTGGCAAGTTTTTGTGCTGAAATAGCTATAACATTGAGTTCAAGTTCTGCCTGAAATTACATCACACTTTTGCTCACGAATTGGCAAAAACGCATTGGCATAAAAACCAAAAAGGAGCCAAAATGCACATTAAATTGGCAAAAATGAAATTTGAAAATAAGGTTAAAAACGGGACACAACGGTGCATTTACATGGAGCCCCTTAAATGCACAGAAAATGAAAGTACACACTGTCTACATACCGTCGTGCATATCATCACAGAGTAACATCACCTGTCCTCTGATGTGTCGTCAAATGCAAGGCGTCTATTACTGTCACAATCAAAGCGCATGCGCAAAGTTATAGATACATATCCAGGGACCAACTGCCGCTCATCTCCTTAAGTTTCTACTTTTCTGTCATCTTCACTTTGACCTTTCAGAGGGAGTAGAACCACGGGTTGAACCCAGAGCCGTCTCCTCCCAACGCCACTCTATACAGTGTAGGTCACATACATTTAAGGGTTACAGCACCTTGTAACCCTTAAAGGTGCTACATAATGGGTCTCATATTTCTCATATTGAGGGCCTCCATGGAAAGCAGTGCCCTGCACTGATCGGAGAACCCTCACTAAAGATGACGTAAATACATTTTATGTACACCTTTAATTTCAAAAAGGTAAAGCGTTATTTTGAATTATCCAATACTATAAGGGTAACGTATACGTCAACTTTACCTACCTGTTATCAAACATGCGAGTGCAGCTACCACCAAGCTCAGCAGTGCCGATGGGCCCGTCACCTCGGCGGCGACATATCCGACAATCACGAACACACCCACCGCGAGAGATCCACCGTGCCCTACGCCATACCGTGCAAGTTTAAAGGGGACACACCGTGCCCCCTCCTGGGATGGGGAGCATCCGTTCTCGCCCCTGGAGGCGGGCTGTTGGACCTGCCTGGTCCGGGCGAGCCGAGCGTAGAAGCTACGGCACAGGTGCCCGGCGCTTCCCACCCGGTCACTCATCGTTGGACTTCCCAACTCTGCGGCTCAGATATGCAATATGGCTACATAGAGGTTTTCTTTTAGCTAGTCAGAATTTGCCGTTGCGATGAGAATACCATACACAGCTAAGACCACAGTACCCGCATATTCACTGCATACTGATGCACGTACAGACTCACAAAGTCATATCAACCATGGAGGAATGAATGTACTATCAACGTACCACGTAAGTGTCCATCATCATACGATAGCAAAGTACCACAACAAACGCGTCGACAATCACGCGTATATACAATTTTTCTGAAGTGGTTTCCAAGCGCGGATGAAGCCCAGGCGACAAGTTCACATGATCAGAGTCTCAAACGCCCCAGTTTTAATTTCCATCAGCTCCTAATCAAACACTCGCTCCGTTTTAGAAACAAACCTGGCGTCCTGGCCTTCCAGCAAAGGTTCAATGTATGCTATGACTCTCCGGACTACTCGCGTGAGTTTATTTCCAACGCCACTTCAGAGTTTACCCAGACAAGCCGTGACAATAGGTATTTTTACGCCACAGGTGGTTTGATGAATGGGCCAACCAAACGCACAGATGTCGGCTAGCCTTCGTGCTTGGTACAAAGTCTGCGTGTACGTACCCGTCACTGAATGCAGTAGAAATCGTTTTGTTAAAAATCATGGTAGACCTGTTTAATTTTATTAATACCTGGGCAGTGTGCGCGCACGTAGGGAACTAATTTGCAAACGGTGTACACAGTATTATTGTTGCAACAAAGCCCGCACAAGTTCTAAACGGTCCATCGCACATGACTGTGTGCACCAGCACACGTACACTGTTGTAGAAAATTGCCATAATTTCAACACGTACAATGTATTTCGTTGCCCACATGGCTGCAATATTTGGTATAATGACTGATAAGTTAAGCTCAATATCGAAAGTTCACCAGTTTTGGTTTGATGTTCACCGCGGCATTATGTGTACGGAAGATGATTCCTGGGCCCAATTTCATAGAGCTGCTTAAGCACAAAATTTGCTTAAGCACAAAAAAACATTGCTTAGTAAAATTAGGTTACCGGCCAAAACTCCATGCGATGTACATTGCTTGTGACTGGTATTTAGCGGTTGTTTACTTAGCATAACAATTGCATGGAGTTTTGGCCAGTAACCTGATTTTATTAAGCAAAACGTTTTGTGCTTAAGCAGCTCTATGAAACTGGTCCCTGTAATTACGTATGTTCACATGGCAACGGTTTGATAGTGGAACTAATAGCGATGCATCTTCCCCATGACCCGAAATGATGCTCGCCAAAATTGTCGCAATCTGCAGCAATAAAAAAATCGCAACTCATATAAGATAACATTCGATGATATAAGTATCTGTCAACGTGAAGTTTCAAGAACTAGCCATCTTTTTACTTTTCAAATACCCCGCTTTTTGGCAGGATGCCAATAATTATTATTACAGGGTACGCAAAAATATATAATCCTCGCAAGTTTGGGTAGTGTTCCATCAAGGAGCACAAGTGGAATATCCCACCATATGGCGCAAGTATCAATAGCTCTCACTACATCACAATGAGCCAGTGAAAAAGATGATAATAAACCTCGTCTTTACTTGAGCGTGTCGAGTGGCAACGGCTGTTTCGTGATTGCTTTGTCGTGGAGTATACTACTCCTTGTAAAGGTATCCACAAATCGCATGCAGCCAAATTAGAAATATTTTTTTGATATATTTTATGATGATTGTAATCCCACGACGTTTGTGTTATGTATAAAGGACATGTGAAGTCTATTGCTTAAGGGGCACATGCAATGCAAAGGCAATCCCTGAAAATGCACCTTAATTTGTGTCCGATTTAACCTTATTTTCATTTTTTTGTTTTGCCATTTTTGGCTTTTATGCTAATACGGAAAATGAGCAAAACTGTGATGTCATTCAGTGCAGAAACCTCAGTGTTACAGCTATTTCAGCACCAATCCCCAATATAATCATAGATATTTTGGTGTCGTAAATGTTCCTTTCTTTGGTGTTTTGTTGTCGTGTACGTACATGGCAGTAAGCCATTCAATGAGCAACCCTACTAACAAAATGTCTTCAACGAGCAATTTTTGGGTTCACAATTTGAGCAGAAAACCCCCTTAAGTTTAACTGAACAGTGTCTTCCTAGAATGACATCACATCAACAGAGCCATAAAAAAACCAGCGCCGGAAAAGAAATTTGAAATGTGTAAAAAAGTGCACTTTTCAATAAAGTTTAACAAAAAGGAATGTCAAATAGTTTTCATACATTTAAGAGGAGTAGAAAGTTGCACGAAATTATGTGTTCCTCACAAAATGTCATCGCGTGGCCCCTTTAAAGGCACGTAGGATCATGCTTTTTGTGAATTTGTTTTCGTTTGAAGCAAGCTTACTCACGTTGTACCGTATGTTAGCCCGCGCGCACCATATATTTGAAACCTTCTTCATTATCATATAAGGCCTCTGATCTTCCAAACGATACCATTTCAGGCAGAATAATTTCGGCAAGGTTTCTGAAATCGGTAGGCATTTTGCGGGGTTATGAAAATGATCACGTACGTTGCTCAAGTTAAATAGGCTATAGTACATGTATAATTATAGAAACGAGTGAAAATGATTCAAAATCTGGCCTTGATCAGATATGATTCAGGAAACGGTCGTCACCTTGTTTAAATCACACCATATTCTTCTCCAAATCATCACACAGGTCTAGTTCATTATTTCACTGCCAACACAGCGGCCGATCAAAGATTACAACAGTATCATTTTATGAAATTTTAGCAACATATTCCCAGGCGCATGCATGCCGCTCCAGTTACGCCGAGTCGTATAGGATTATTTCGCGCCATCTGGTCAAAAAGCACGCGCCAACAGGTGGTTTTTTTTTTACCGTTAAGCTGATAAATTGATACAACCCTGGATAAATTAATGAAAAATGCCCTGATATTTTTAGGCAAGGAACCAACTTTCATTTTGGTGATATATAGCGCATTTTATTTTGTACGGTTCAATAGAGTTCAAACGACCACATGCTACAAATGAGATTATCAAGCCAAAAAAAGTGCATATATTTATAATACATCCTCGAAATATATGTCAGTTGTGATGGATATTCCCAATACTATTACCGAATCTTGGAAATTTATACCTCAAACTTCTCCGTTCAACATTTGCAAACATCGAAAAATAAAACTACCAATATTTTACGAAATACCTTACTAGGATGTTGGTAAATGACAGTCTCAAGCATCTTGTAAAATTATGGCACCTGGTGTGAAGTCATTTTCAAGATAATGGTATTTTTGTACACATTTCCAACGGTGGTCGGCCGACCAGCGTTGGAAAAACCTAACCATTTTTCAACTACTGCTCCAAATTTACCATTTTTTCAGTCCAAATTTTGTTTGCTATTGGTTACATGTTCATGAACGGGTGCAGGCCAGCTAGACTGGTTCCCTTGCCTTACAATTTTCCATCATCTATAAATTGATCCATTTTATCTTTTGTGGAGTCAGGGAACCAGACTACTTGAACATTTTGTTTTTCTTGGTTTTTCCAACCTTTTCGAACACAAAACTTCAAAAATGTCAGTGTAAACAATATTTGATCTATTATACTAACCCCTCAAATAGTTCACTTCTTAAAATTACAGCAAAAGCCAATGATGTACATTCCCTTTAACTTGATTTGAAAAGATTTCCTTTGAAACAAACGTAACTCCTTTATGACCTATTAGTGGTTGTACAGTATTCTCAGTCAAAATATAATTTTGCATTTTGAACGAAAAAAATTGGTTGAGATTATGTTAAGTAACAAAAGCAATTCATTATTCCAAGATTGGTTCTCGTTTTTGTCAAAGTAAATCGTGACTTTCAACTAGACGGAAATATGATAATGGGGGGTTGAAATAGCCCCCTCTATCCACAACAAAATATTTTTCCTGCGCAATCGCCAAATAATTGAAGGGCGCCCTCGTGTGAACAATCAACAGCTGGCAGTGGCATGGTAAATTTAGTCGACACAGTTTTAAGTTGCAGACGACGCGAGAGCAAGTACAACTACAAGGAACGGGTAAGAAAATTATTATTTTTCTTTTTCAAAACAATCAGCATTGGTGGATAAATGGAGAGGGATAAAAGAAGAGAGATTTAGCCTATTCTGATAATGATTCTGATGCCGATCTTTGCGATGATCGCACACATGTGGTTTGGCCTTAATTGTGCTTCTTTTGATGTTTTGAAAGTGCACGTACTGACGTAGGCTTACGATCATGACGACCATTCTGTTTTCTACATGTAGCTTGAATCTCCAGCTCTAGAGCCGGAGTTACTCAAGCTATCAGTTAACATGCTCGACTTTATGACCTATGTCGTATGTATAGCCATGGTATAGCCTAGCATGGAGAGGTGGATTCTCAATTAAAATAATTTCGGATTTTGAATGAAAACATTTGGTTGAGATTAGTCCCACTAACTGGGGCGCTAGAACTCCTTTTTTGACATTTGGGATGTTGGTCTGTCGTACTAGTATTTTAAGTACATTTTGTAACTAAAGCAATTCATTCAAAGATTGGTTCTCGTGTTTGCCAAAATACTGTATCAGCCGCTATTTTAAACTAATTTGGAAAGTGTTAATTCATGTAAATTATATAGGTTATGTTCCTTGCTCTGTTGTTGATGTACCCTAACGTGGCGTCACCTCTAGTGCCTTGTTAGAGCAAAATTGTTACCTCAAATTTCACAAAAAGTGGAATTTCATCAAGCTGCAAACATTCCCAATCATAAATCTTGAGTTTACGTACCCACTACGAAGTTCTAGGAAGTTCTATTTTGGCATGATTTTCTTGTCGAAGTGCCCAATGAAGCCTTTTAATATTCAACCAAAAATAAGAATATAATTTGCTTACAAACTTGTAGTTGCGTATGTGAGGGGAGATAATAATGATTTATCAAAATTTATCTACTTTAAAGAAATTCTTAGACGTTAATGTGTTATTTTCCGACATTTGTTCAAGCATCACCGTTAGGGAACACTCAGCCGATTTACATGTATTAGTTTTCAGTCAGGTAATGATGTGAAAAGTAATGCCAACATGTCTTGAGATCCTATACTTTCAGTGACTGTTATGGTATTTTTATTTATAAGATGGAATTTTGCGTCGGGGTGATGTAAATCAAATTGGGTTTTGCCCTTCCCCGACGTATAAACACTGTATACTCAGTGTGTTACCTCCCGAGTGAAAGTTGGAAAAAATCACTTGGGTGGGACTCGAACCCATGACTTCCTGCTTTCTAGTGCAGACGTCTTACCACTCAACCACCGAGCTAATGGGCAAGGTTCGAAATGGCCGTTAAGACTGAGTATACAGTGTTTATACGTCGGTGAAGGGCAAAACCTAATTTGATTTATGTTATTTCTAACGTCAGTTTCATTGCTTCAAACTTTGTTTATCATATTGTTTTGAATACTTCACCATTTATCTCTATCATGGGGAAAAATACTAAAAATGCATTACAAAAAGTAGGCCTACTTGTTACGTTTGCACACGTGTTTTAAATGCTTCATCATAATGACACATTTATAGTGCTAACCTGAAACTGGATGAGGCATCCCCCCCCCACCCCCCGCCCTCCGATTTTGTCGTCTTACTCCTCATAGGATGTTGTAGCCTAATTGAGTAACCTTCCAAAATCCAAACGATCTTTCTTTTTTCCAACTGTAAAAAACCTGGGCATATATATCACTCACTAGCAGTTTTTTATAACATGACCTGTCTGTGCTGTACATCTTTTCCTGTTATATTTCCTGGACTATAGTGTCTATTTGTAAACGACTAATGTGGCCCGGCCCATTTTTAGGAGTTCACAATATATGACAAAAGCATTGTATTACTGTGCTTCCCCTATGCAACATGTAATGGCATGTCTTACAATAGACAGTACTTAACACCACTCATTCTCGAATTCAAAGAACACATCAGACTAGTCAGCTTATTGACGTGTTTATACTGACAGTGGACAAACCGAGTCTAGGCACCCTTCAACAGCTTAGCGTGCCAGTGAATTGAAATGACTTGAAAACGGACATCCTTCGGTATCAAAGATCACGATCTAGGAATGTGTAATGATTTAGTGTGTCAAGTGTTCGGGTTTTGTATTCCATTTGAAGTGGCTGCATGTGTACATGTACCACATTGTGTGAACAGAAGTACACGAACATCGAAACGACGAAAGGCTTTTGTGTCGAAACTATCTAGTATAAAACATTTTTGTAACACTGCTTGTGAAATAAATTAGTTAATGCATGTGAACATGTGAAAAAAATACAAAGTACAAAAACTGCACAATTTCAAGGATTTCTAAAGTATGAATGAATCTTTAATTTAAAAAACCCCCATTTTTCGCTGTGGCTGCAACTCAAATTAGATTGATTTTATTTTTTAATTGAGATAATGAAAGTAAAAGAAGACACCATCACTGGCTTGACAAGTGCAAGACATTGGGAAATCAAAGGATTTAGTATTGAGAAGGAAATTTCCAGAAAGGCATCACAAGTAATGTAAGAAACACTACTGAAGAAATATCACATACTCAGGCATGTCCCTTAAAGGGAATGTACATCATTGGCCTTTGCTGTAATTTTCAGAAATGGAGTATTTGAAGGGTTAGTATAATATATCAAATATTGTTACACTGACATGTTTGAAGTTTTATGTTCGAAAATGCTGGAAAAACCAAGAAAAACAAAATTGTTCAAGTAGTCTGGTTCCCTGACTCCACTAAAGATGAAATGGATCAGTTTATAGTTGCCAGAAAATTGTAAGGTAAGGGAACCAGTCTAGCTGGCCTGCACCCGTTCATGAACATGTAACCAATACCAAACAAAATTTGGACTGAAAAAGGTAAATTTGGAGCAGTAGTTGAAATATAGTTAGGTTTTTCCAACGGTGGTCGGCCGACCACCGTTGGAAATGTATACAAAAATACCATTTTCTTGAAAATGACTTCACACCAGGTGCCCTAATTTTACAGGATGCTTTAGACTCTCATTTACCAACATCCTAGTAAGGTATTTCTTAAAAACTTGGTAGTTTTATTTTTCGATGTTTGCAAATGTTGTATATTGCCTTTAATACAATGGTTGCTTGATGTATCACAAGTTTCTCAACCTTAATTTTAAATCTACAAAATATCGCATTGTAGCCTAAATGACGTGGATTTTTTTGAAAAAAGAAAAATTGTAGTTGTGTTACAGAGATTTTACTCTGTGTTCTGTTAAAACTACATGTATTCCCATATTTAACAGTGCACTTCCGTTTCAAGTTTAACTGCTGCACAGCGGTTTGTGTGGCCCCACACTGTGCTAATGGTATGAGGTCACATGTTAAACAACAATCGGAACAAGTATTATTCTCTATTTTAATAATAGTGACGTTACTCATTAAACCAATTGATAAAGTGTTACTGTCTCATACATGTAGCAAAATCTTCAGTGACTACAACAGCCAAGCCCAGAGATTTGTGGAATTTCTGCCAACTCTGCTGTGGCCTGTTTGTCATCGCTTGAATGCAAACAACAATAAACGCTGGGTCAAGAGTTTATCATAAAACCAGCATTTATCTTGCCATTAGTGGAATTGCCTGGTGAGCTCAGAACCCATGGAAGCTATTAAATGTTGAAGTACATGCAGGTCACGTACATGTACATAGGTTGTTAGTAGTGGTGGGATTTAAATCCGGATTTTAAAAAATTCAGTTTGAATTCCAATATTCGGTTTAGATTTTGAAAAACGGATATTCGAAACCAACTTTAAAGGGAATATACAACATTTGCAAACATCGAAAAATAAAACTACCAAGTTTTTGCGAAATACCTTAATAGGATGTTGGTAAATGGCAGTCTAAAGCATCCTGTAAAATTATGGCACCTGGTATACTGTCATTTTCAAGAAAAGTGGTATTTTTGTATCAATTTCCAACGCTGATCGGCCGATCAGCGTTGGAAACAACTGGCTTTTTTTTCAAATACTGGCCCCAATTGACCATTGCACTTGTTTGCAATCGATTACAAACCTATGAACGGGTACGAGCCAGCTAGACTGGTTCCGTGACCTTACAATTCCCCAATGTATGTAAACTGCTCTGTTTCTTTTTATATGGAGTCAGGGAACCAGACTACAGGAAAATGATCGTTTTTCTTGGTTTTTATAGCATTTTCGAACCCAAAACCTCCAAAAAGTCAGTGTAACTATATTTGCTTTATATTTCCAACCCCCCAATTCCATCCATTTCTGAAAATTACAGCAAAAGCAAATGATGTATATTCCCTTTAAAGAGAATGTACACTTTTTGTATACAAATGTACATCATTGGCTTTTGCTTTATTTTTTAGAAATGAACTATTTGAGGGATAAGTATAATAGATCAAATATTGTTACACTGACAAGTTTGAAGTTTTGTGTTCGAAAATGCTTGGAAAACCAAGAAAAACAAAACTGTTCAAGTAGTCTGGTTCCTGACTCCACTATTATGAAATGGATCAATTTATAGATGCCAGAAAATTGTAAGGTAAGGGAACCAGTCTAGCTGGCCTGCACCCGTTCATGAACATGTAACCCATAGCAAACAAAATTTGGACTGAAAAAAAAATGGTAAATTTGGACTTTGGAGCAGTAGTTGAAAAATAGTTAGGGTTTTCCAACAGTGGTCGGCCGACCACTGTTGGAAATTTATTCAAAAATACTACTTTTCTTGAAAATGACTTCACACCAGGTTCCATAATTTTTCAGGATGCTTTAGACTGTCATTTACCAACATTCTAATAAGGAATTTCGTAAAAATTTGGTAGTTTCGTTTTTCGATGTTTGGAAATGTTGTACTTTTCCCTTTAAAAAAAGTAAAGCCTTCCATTTTTTGTGACATTGGCTAAAGATATACAGGAACATCCCCCAATTTGCTTCATGGTCTCTGATTGTAACTGCATTGACTTGCTATGGTCCTTCTTGGTGTATGAGTAGCCTGCCCGTTTGACTTTTTATCAGAGAGTACCCATTTTTTCAATATAAACCCTTA